ACGCACGCACACGCCCCCGGCGTGAGTTTTAAGCCACCGGGTCCAAGACGCGAACCGCGGTCGACTACGTGGGAGTCCAGCGACATAGCCATTACGTTAACTGCTGGTTCCCTTAAAAAGACTTTTTTATCTTCTTGGTTTGGGGTCTTCCTCTTGGCCTGGAAGATCTCTTCCAAGTGCTTTGCCCACTGAGGTCAGGAGCCATGTCTGACGGCTGCTGGGGCAGGGTCTCCTTTCAGAAATGCCGAAAGTCTCTCCCCTGTGCTGAGGGACAGGCTGGCAGGGGTGCAGCTCCTGTGACTAAGGGACACGCAGTTCATCCACCCTGTCATTTCACAGTTCATGGCGGCGACCCCACCCTTCTCTTGGTTGAGAGGGGCTCTCCACTCCCAGGGCTGGAGTCCCATCTCCTTTGCTCACAGCTGGGGGGACGTAGGAGAGGGCGCAGACAGGCAGGCAGGAACAGACAGACACGCAGACAGAGCGACAGGCGGGGCAAGCAGACGAGGTGGACAGACAGCCCCACTTACAGGAACCAGCTTCCAGTACCAGCGTGTAGGGCACTGATGCCAGAGCAGAGAGGAGGGCGGGAGCCGCGTAGGGGACAGGGCAGAGGGAGAGAGAGATTGAGAAGGAAAGAGGGAGTGTCACCTCCAGCCCTGCCACCTCCGGAGTGGCCGTGGGCACAGCCCGCCTCGCCCACCCAGCCCTGCGATCTCCCGGCCTCGTGCGCCCACTGCCCAAGCCTTACCGAGGGCTTCCGCAGGGGCTGCAGGAGACGCTCGCTGGGCCGCCTCCTGCTCCGTCTTTTGCTGCAGCCGCCGCACGGTCTGGGGGCAGGGAGAAGTCAGTGCTCTTTGGTCGCTGGGTCATTCTGGTCCCCTCTCCATCCTGGCCCAACCTCACCTACCGTGTCCACCCAGAAAAGGAGCTTGTGCTCCAAGCTCGGCAGGGCCAAGGGGCCTGGCAACGTCTTGGTCCACTCAAAAGCGAAGGCAACCATGAGCGCATCGATGACAGCTAGGTGGGCTCCCTGTGGGGACAAGGGCTGGAGGGTAAGACCAGAGCGCAGGCTGGTGGGGTCTCTGCACAGCGAGGGCCAAAGAACAGGAAGAACCTGGTGGTGGGCGGGGCTCTGGGTGGGCGGGGTCATGCCCAGTGGGCGGGGCCTCAAGTGACAGAACGGGGTCCGGTATTACGGGCCAGCTTGGAGCTCAGACAGTAGGTCTTAAAATAGGTGGGCCATGCAGGCAAGTCCTCAAGGCCCGGACCTGCGCGGTTTTGGGGAGGATCTAAGTCAGGTAGGTGTCTGAGGGGAGGAGCCCGTTGTGATAGCTGAGCTTGTAATGGGGGGATCAGGATTGATGGATGGAGCTACGGACAGCCTCCCTCCTAGTGGTAGGAGGAGTCAGGCCTGGTGGGAGGAGCTTGAAGAAGCCAGGATTGATTTAGGATGCTTGAGAAGAGGACCCAGAGCCAGTGGGCGGGGCCAGGCTCAATGGGTGGAGCCTGAGGAGAGAAGTCAAGCCCAGTGGGAGGTGCTTGAGGGGTATCCAGGTCTGGTGGGAGGAGCTTTAGGGGAGGGACCAGGCCTGATGAACAATGCTTGAGAGGAGTCAGAGCTTGTGGGCGGGGCTAGGATTGATGGGTGGAGCTTGAGGCAAGCAGCCAGGCATGGTGGGAGGAGCTTGAGAGGAGGAGGCAGGCCTGGTGGGAGGAGCCTGACAGGAGGGGCCAGGCCTGAGGGAGGATGCTTGCAAGGAGGGCGGGCTAGTGGGTGGGGTCAGGCTTGATGGGTGGAGCTTGAGGAGAGAAGCCAGGCCTGGTGGGAGGAGCTTGAGGAGGAGGCAGGCATGGTAGGCAGGGCCTAACGGGCAAGGGCGTGGCCTACCATGAGAATGGGCTGGTGCCTCAGGTCCGCCTCCCGCACTGGGCGCTCAGGCAATGCAGGCACAGTGCCCCTCCGGGCCAGCAGAGCCAGCAGCGCAGAGGGGCTGGGGGGTGTCTCGAGCTGTGGCAGTGCCTGGCGCCAGGCACTGCAAGAGCAGCAGCCGCGTCACTGGGGGCTTCACGTGCTCCTGCGCGTACTGGTCCGTGTAGAAGGGCTCCCACAGCTCCGGGGGCACGTGCTCTGCAGGGCGTGGGGGGACAGGCGGGTCAGGCCTGCATACGCACATGTACAACCATGTGGCCCCAACTAAGGGGCGGGGTCTGGGCTAGGGAGGGAGGTCCCGGGATGAGAGAAACAGGTCAGGGCTGAGACCCGCAGGTTTCCCAGAGGAAGGACTGACAACTTGCAAGATGCAAAGGTCTTGACATGGCCTCTAGGATATGCACTTACAACAGAGGAGAGGGGAGGGGAGCAGAAGGGAGGGGAGGGGAGGCCTGCTGGGTGGGTCAGGTAAGCTCCGGGGAAAGGCCTCTCAATGGTAACAACCTTCCTGTGCTGGAGGGTTCTGGACTCATCTAAACCCCACATCAATCTTAGGAAGCAGCAGCGCCATTGACAGATGAGGAAACCGCCTGCTGGGGCTGAATGTGTCCCCTCAAAGTCCATGTGTTGGAATTAAGACGAAACCAGGCTAGTCCTGTATATAGCACAGTGGTTAAGCCCTGTGCTTAGAGAGCTGGATTTCACACAGCTGACCCTGGTTCAAATCCCAGCCCCAGAAGCTTAAGAAATAAGGCAGGTACGTGTGTGTGTGTGTGTGTGCGCGCGCATGATGGGATGGAGGGAAGAGGACTGTGATGAGACCACGCCCCATTTGGGGTAGGGGGAGGCTTTCTGTCACTCTCTCTGTCAGGTGCACACACTTCTAACAATTAAATAAAATTAAGAATAAAAATGGGGCCTGTGAGTGGCATGATGGTTAAGACAGCTGGACTCCCACACGTCTGACCTCAGTTTGAGTCCTGAACCTGGCAGTTTGCTTTCTCACTTTCTTTCTGTCTCTCTCTGGTCAACTTTAAAAAAAAAAAAAGGACAATTAATAAAATTAAGAATTATTTTAAAGAATAAATATTAGGGAACCAGCAGTTAGCGTAATGGCTATGTTGCTGGACTCCCACGTAGTCGACTGCGGTTCACATCCCAGACCCGGTGGGTTAAACTCACGCCGGGTGCGTGTGCGTGCGTGCTCAAGATCCCGAGAGGAGAATGGAGGAGAAGGGATTGTGGCGTGGCCACCCCCCCCGGGGGGGGGGTGATTTCTCGCTTTCTATCTCTCTGTCTCCCTCTGTCTGTCTGGCGAGCGCACGCGCCCTACAGTGAAAAAACCTCTCCAAAAAAAAAAAAAAGAATAAATATTAAAAATAAATAATTATTTTTAATTGCTAGAGGGTATGTGCATTTACCAGAGACAGAGAGAGAAAGCCCCTCCCGGTAGGGTGTGGTCACGCTGCCATCCTTTCTCCATTCCCCTACCCTGTCGGAATTCGGAGCACACACACACACACACACACACACACTCAGCACTTTTCAATCCGCCAGGCCCAGGATTCAAACCAGGGCTGGCCACGTGGGATCCAACTCCCTTAACAACTGGACTACAGGGCAAGCACCTCCCCACATTCAGTTTTTTAAAGAATTATTTTATTTAACTTTATTTATTTATTTTAATTTGACCAGAGAGAGAGAGAGAGAAAGAGAAAGTGAGAAGGCAAGCCACCAGGTCCAGGACTTGAACCACAGTTGGCCATGTGGAATTCAGCTCCCTTAACAATTGGACTACAGGGCCAGCACCTCCCCACACTTTTTAAAATTAAAAAATAATGAATAATATGCACAGAAAAAGAAAGAATTTTGAAAGTTCCCAACACAGCGAAAGGACATACAGGTAAGATGATGAATATATTAACCCCCGATTTAATCACCACACTTTGTAATCTTATATGGAAAAAAATCACACTGTGTCCCAGCAAATCGGACAGTTACTATACGTCAACTAAAATAATTACAGGGCCTGGGACCAGCAGTTGGCGTAATGGTTACAGTGCTGGACTCCCACATAGTTGACTGTGGTTCAAGTCCCAGACCCGGTGGCTTCAAACTCACACCAGGCATATGCGTGCCCAAGAGCCAGAGAGGAGAATGGAGGAGAAGGGATTGTGGTGTGGCCATCCCCCCTAGGGGGTGATTTCTCGCTTTCGGTCTCTTTTATGAGTACATATAGTTTTGCACCCTGTAGCAAAAGTCTCTCTCTTAAGAAAAATGATCAATAAAAACGACAATAATTATAGATCCAGCAGATGGCTTGGAGGTTAAGGTAGCAGGCTCCCACATGACCGACTGCATAGTTCAAGTCCTAGACCCGGTGGCTTGAGAAACATGCCAGGCATGTATCCCCAAAGTTCCAAGAGGGGAATGGAGAAGAGATTGTGGCATGGCTAGCTTCTCTGGGGGATGATTTCTATCTCTCTCTCCTCTCTCTCTTTCTTGAGCACATGTGCCCTACAGCAAAAAAAAAAAAAAAAAAAAAATTTATATATATATATACACACACACACACACATACACACACACATATAAATATTATAGTTCAACTATGGGATTATGAGGTAGAGCCAGGGCTAGCAGGTGTTGTGGTTAAAGGCACTGGGTTCCCCATGGTTGATGGCGGTTCGAGTCCTGAACTCGGCAGCTTGCTTTCTCCCTTTCCCTTTCTCTCTTTTCTGGTCAAATTAGAAAATAATAACAAATGGAATTAAATAACTAAATAATTCTTTAAAAAAAAAAAAAAAAGAGATAGAGCCTTTAGGAGGTGACTAAGGTGGAGCCGTGCCAGTTCCCGTTGGGGCCCTAAGAAGGGGAGACACATGGACACAGACACGCCCAGCACACGCTCTCGCCTGTGACACGTGAAGCTCTGTCATGTGAGCAAGAAGACTCACAGCCATGGCCACCGGACCTCTGAGCCACGACCTGAATAAACCTCTACTCTCTTAAATTACCCGAGGAAGCTATCTGGTTTTGTTTGTTTGTTTTAAAGAAAGAGAGTTTTACTACAGGGTACATGCACTGGCCGGAGAGACAGAGAGACAGAAAGCGAGAAATCACCCCCCAGGGGGGATGGCCACGCCGCAATCCCTTCTCCTCCATTCTCCTCTCAGGATCTTGGGCACGCACGCACACGTGCCCGGCGTGAGTTTAAGCCACTGGGTCCGGGACTTGAACCGCGGTCAACTACATGGGAGTCCAATGACGTGACTATTGCGCCATCTGCTGATCCCCCATCTCTGTTATTAACAGAACCAACTACACCACTTTCCAGACGGAGCACAGAGAAGGAAAGCAGCCCGCCTGCGGCCACACAGCTCTTCTGTACCAGGACCGGGATTAGGAACCAGCTCTTACAGAAACTCACTAGCTCCCCTCAGCTTTCAGGGGTGGGCATAAGAGCAGGGAGTGCGGCGGTGCGGGGACTGGGCACAATGCACACGGAGGGAGTGGAGTACAATTGGTGACTGAAAGGAGGAGCTGGGGTGGGGAGGGAGAGGGGGATGAGAGTCTGTGGAAGAAGAGAGGTCGGAGGTCGTGACTGGGACGGGGGCAGGGAATGGCCACACTGCAATCCCTTCTCCTCCGTTCTCCTCTCGGAATTTTTGAGCACGCACACACACGTGCCCGGCATGAGTTTTAAGCCACTCGGTCAGGGACTTGAACCCCTGTCAGCTCCATGGGAGTCCAGTGACGTAACCATTACGCCATCCGCTGGTCCGAGCCTGGCTTTCTTACACAGCAAGCTTCTACGTGGGTGTGACAGCATGGGGCTTCTAGTGCTTCCATACCTATTAGAGGGCCAGTGTGACATGATGGCGGAAGCACTGGGTCCCACACGGCCCACTGAGCTGTCCAGTCCCCGGCCAGCTAGAAAAGTCACAACGGGCAAGGGACCAGCAGTTGGCGTAATGGCTATGTCACTGGACTCCCATGTAGTCGACCATGGTTTGAGTCCCGGACCCGCTGGCTTAAACTCATGCCAGGCGCGTGTGCGTGCGTGCCCAAGATCCCAAGAGGAGAATGGAGGAGAAGGGATTGCGACGTGGCCATCCCCCCTGGGGGGTGATTTCTCACTTTCTGTCTCTCTGTCTCTCTCTGTATTTCTGGTACGCGCACGCGCCCTATAGCAGAAACCTCGCCAAAAAAAAAAAAAAAATTATGATGGGCGTGTGTGCGTGCATGCCCCAAATCCCAAGAGAATGGAGGAGGAAGAACTACTGTGTGGCCATCCCCCCTGGGGAATGATTTCTTATCCCCCCCCCTTTCTTTTTTTTGAGAACTACCTATTCAGTTTTATTATCATTAATTTGTCTAATTTGATCAGACAGAGAGAAAGAGAAAATGAGAAAGCAAGCCACCAGGCCCGGGACTCAAACTGCAGTCAGCTATGTGGGAGTCCAGCACCTTAACCACCACACCCGCTGCTAGCCCTCATCTCTCTCTGTCCATCTCTCTCCAGAAAGAGCAAGCATCCTAGAGCCAAACTTAAAAGACAAACAGGGGCCAGCAGGTGGCATGGTGGTTAAGGAGCTGGACTCCCACATGGCCAACCACAGTTCAAGTCCTGGACCTGGTGGCTTGCTTTCTCATTTTCTTTCTCTCTCATCAAATTGAAAAATTATAATGATAGTGAATATAATTAAATCATTCTTTTTCTTTCTTTCTTTGGAGAGGTTTTTGCTATAGGGTGCGTGCGCTCGCCAGACAGACAGAGAGAGACAGAGAGACAGAAAGCGAGAAATCACCCCCCAGGGGGGATGGTCACGCCGCAATCCCTTCTCC